TATATAATTCACAATCACATAAATTTTAAACTACATTAAATAATTAATAATGTAATGTAAATTCAAAATTTTAATTTAAATGCTGTTTAAGACTACCTACTTCTTACATGAACAAAGTTTTAATATAAACAAAACTTATTTGTATGACTTAGACAAAATCATTGACATAATGATGCTTTTTAATTATATATAGTTTGCTTTACTTTTTATTAAGTAATTTTATAAATAATATAATATTGTAAATATACATATAATATAAATTACATTCACTGTTTTTTTTTTATATACAGTTCCAACATTAAAATTTTAAGAAGGATCCTAACATGTTTTCATAACATATAAATTTAAAAATTTAAGTTAAATGAGAATTTAATAGAAAAATGTTAAGAAGTTTTTTCTGTTAAAAATTTTGCACAACTTTAAAGAGTTTATTCATTTACTGCATATGTCTTGCTGTCTCTAATGATTCTGGGTATAAATGTTTTATCTAATAATATACCATTTTCGATAAGGAAATTTTCCACATCGCCATAAGAAAAATCATTTCCTAATTCTTCTGTTATCTTAACAAAGTTTCCGACTAATGTTCCCGATTTATATACCAGTAATGCTGGTACTCCTTTCAATTTAAAACTTTTGCTGACCCCAGCTTTGGATCCCAATACTTTGCAAAATTTAACATCAGGGTAATTTTTACATATAACATCCAAGCAATGATTCATATTTTTACAATCTGAAACTTTTTCTTCGTATATATGAATGATTACAGTTACATTTTTATTTTCTTTATCGATGGCATCCAAAAATTCTTGACCATTTGAAAGAGTGTAAACCTCACCAAATTGTTTATTTAATGTAGATTTGGCTAACATTTCTTGCATTTTTTTCACAGAATACTCTAGAACATAAGGATCCAAAAATTGTTCCAATTCTGGATCTTCCTCTTTTTCTTGGTCCAAATCCGAACGACAAGTAAATGCAAGTCTTTCAATTAATTCTAATTTTTCTCTTTCTCTTTCCATTCTTTGTTCAGATTGTATTTGTTTGTACTGTTGCCAGTCTTTAAGTACTCCTTTAGGACCTGTATTAGTGGAGCAACCCGCATCGGGAGGATTTAAAGGAGGAGGTCCGGGATCCACTTTAAAGGATTCACTAATTTTATTTTCATCATCTGATTCGATGTCATCGTCACTTTCGCTACTGCTACAATAATATTCTTTTTTCTCACCGAGAAGTTTATCCTCTAATGTTGACATTGTTATTGTTTTTATCAAGTAATATAATAATTATATTGATATTGAAATACTTGCGACAAAATTCACTTTGTCACTTGGCTTATTTCAAATATGATTGGTTTAATTTGATCACGTGATTTGTATTTCATATAATTTTGCTGTTGGAATAAATGTAAGAAAACATGGGTGACGGAAAAGATGAACGTCAACCTTTATTACAAACCGATTATAAAGCTGTACCAAATAATTTTGAGGAAACTAACGAAACAGGTAAATTTTTTTATATAAATACTTGTAAGTTTAAAAATTTTCTAAATCATAGTTTTTTGTTTTTATTTATAGCCAATGGCTAAATTTTTTTTATTTTAAACAATGCCTTCGACAAATTCTTTTGTACTTAGGCTGGTTAATTTTTTTATGTCAAAAATAATAATTACTTTTAACTATTATAAATTACAATCAACATCCCGAACAGTGTAAGAATTTACATTT